CCGGATGGTGTTGAAAGCACTGTAGAAGTCAAAAAACAGGACCCTCACAGTGCTCGCCGGCTGGTCCAGGTGGGCGTAGATGTGGTTGAGCAGGAAGATGAATGCGTTCTCAACTCCCAGTTTGCGCTGGTAGGTGAACAGGACGGGGTCTAGAAGAGGTCTGACCATGGGCCGCAGCTGATCCAGAACCAGTCTCTCCGGGGTCTTCATGATGTGGGAGGTCAGTGCCACAGGTCTGTAGTCCTTGGAGTCACTGGGACGTGACGTCTTTGGCACAGGAACGAGGCAAGATGTCATCCACAGCACAGGGACCCTGTGGAGATTCAGGCTCAGGTTGAAGACGTGGTGAAGGAGTCCACATAGCTGGGGGGCACAGGCTTTGAGCACCCCGGGGCGGACACCATCAGGGCCTGCAGCCTTGTTGGAGTGGAGTCTCCTCAGCTGTCTTCTCACCTGGTCAGCAGTGAGGCACACAGAGGTTAGAGGTGTGGGAGGGGGAGAGGAGGAGTCGTCAGGCTGGAGAGAGCTGTTAAACTGAGAGCCAGAGGAGGGGGGGTTGGTGTCTCACAGGAGGGTGGGGGACAGTGAGGAGGAGGAGGGGGAGTAGTTGGGTTGGAGGTGTTAGAGGTGAGACAGCAGCTGAGTTAGTCGGGGGACGGGCGGGAGCCATTGAGTCAAATCTGTCAAAGAACTAGGGCTGAAATGATTAATCGATTAAATCATAAAATCGATTCATAAAATGCTTCAACACAAATTCTTTGCGTTCTCTATCGCTCATTTCCCGTTTCACATTTCACATGTTTTCTTGATATAAGTGGTTTGGAAACCAGTGTCGGGTTCCATAGTTGCTGTCAGCTCCTGTAGTGTGTGTCCCTGTCACCGATCGGTCACGTAGTGTGAACGCCGTAACGACTTCAAGCCTGCCGTCATATTAGGGCAAGCTGTGTGAACTGCACAGCCATCGGCCGACGCTGACAGTCGTGTATTCTAACTTGTAGCAGCTGTCTGGTTGTTGGTCTGATGTTTGCTGTTTAACACACTATGAATTTCCGAAAGGACTAATAAATATCTATCACCTATAAATGTGCACAGCTCACATACTGGGTGAAGTTAGTAAGTGTGGTGGTCATGGTGACGTGGTTGAAGTCACCCGAGATCACTATGAGGGCACTCAGGTGTTGAGTCTGGACTTCAGCAATGGCGGTGTTGCTGCGCAACGGTGCCGTGGCTTACCAAAACTCGCTCAACTTGCATGATTAGAGAGAGTGTAGTTTAAATTAAGTATAGACCAAAATCACACACGTGAGATATAAAAAAAACAAAGTTGAAAGTTAGAAAAGAAGACGATTAACGACGGAGCTAGTGATGTGTCCGCATGTTTTGATGACGTGTGTGACCGATTCAGCAGATGGTTTGCGGTTTGGCGTGCGATTCAAAAGGAGCAGCAAAATGCAATGGACCCTCAACATTTTGTGGACTTTTGAACTTGAAATTGAACACGGTTAGATTTTATCTACAGCATTTTAAATGGCTAAAAAAATTATCAACTTATGTCAGAATTGCTTTGATCAAATAACTTTAAAATATTTTGTGCTTTTGGTAAGAATTAAACTCTTACCCCATATTACCCTAATAATAATTTTCTAAAGCAGGTAAAATCATCTCCAAGAAACCGCCTGAAGCCCAGCACTGTGGAAGTGTTATTTTAAAATAGATTAATAAAATGTTGTCTCCATTATCTAAAGTCAAAAACCAAGTTATCATAACCCTCTCCCTTGTTTCCACTTTCCTTTTGACCCTGGCATTGTATCATAAAGACAGACACCTTATTAAAGTCATGTATTGGCATCACAAACATCATTCATTAATTTATTCAATTCAAAGCTTCACACACCAAAGCTACACTCACCTAAAGGATTATTAGGAACACCATACTAATACTGTGTTTGACCCCCTTTCGCCTTCAGAACTGCCTTAATTCTACGTGGCATTGATTCAACAAGGTGCTGGAAGCATTCTTTAGAAATGTTGGCCCATATTGATGGATAGCATCTTGCAGTTGATGGAGATTTGTGGGATGCACATCCAGGGCACGAAGCTCCCGTTCCACCACATCCCAAAGATGCTCTATTGAGTTGAGATCTGGTGACTGTGGGGGCCATTTTAGTACAGTGAACTCATTGTCATGTTCAAGAAACCAATTTGAAATGATTGGAGCTTTGTGACATGGTGCATTATCCTGCTGGAAGTAGCCATCAGAGGATGGGTACATGGCGGCCATAAAGGGATGGACATGGTCAGAAACAATGCTCAGGTAGGCCGTGGCATTTAAACCATGCCCAATTGGCACGAAGGGGCCTAAAGTGTGCCAAGAAAACATCCCCACACCATTACACCACCACCACCAGCCTGCACTGTGGTAACAAGGCATGATGGATCCATGTTCTCATTCTGTTTACGCCAAATTCTGACTCTACCATCTGAATGTCTCAACAGAAATCGAGACTCATCAGACCAGGCAACATTTTTCCAGTCTTCAACTGTCCAATTTTGGTGAGCTCTTGCAAACTGTAGCCTCTTTTTCCTATTTGTAGTGGAGATGAGTGGTACCCGGTGGGGTCTTCTGCTGTTGTAGCCCATCCGCCTCAAGGTTGTGCGTGTTGTGGCTTCACAAATGCTTTGCTGCATACCTCGGTTGTAACGAGTGGTTATTTCAGTCAAAGTTGCTCTTCTATCAGCTTGAATCAGTCGGCCCATTCTCCTCTGACCTCTAGCATCAACAAGGCATTTTCGCCCACAGGACTGCCGCATACTGGATGTTTTTCCCTTTTCACACCATTCTTTGTAAACCCTAGAAATGGTGTGCGTGAAAATCCCAGTAACTGAACAGATTGTGAAATACTCAGACCGGCCCGTCTGGCACCAACAACCATGCCACGCTCAAAATTACTTAAATCACCTTTCTTTCCCATTCTGACATTCAGTTTGGAGTTCAGGAGATTGTCTTGACCAGGACCACACCCCTAAATGCATTGAAGCAACTGCCATGTGATTGGTTGATTAGATAATTGCATTAATGAGAAATTGAACAGGTGTTCCTAATAATCCTTTAGGTGAGTGTATGTTGCTGTTATAATCACTCTGCCTGTTTTACATTTATTGTCCACTTGATGGCACACTCAAATGAAGGCATCGTGAAGCTTCGGCCCATGAGTGAACCAATTGGATGGAAAGCTTCAATGCTTCATCTCGCCATCACTACCCGGTAGTGGCTTTAAGTTTTTTCCAGAGAGAGGTAAAATGCAAGCACAAACGTGGCATTTATTGTCTTCCATACAGAGAAGATGAGACACCAACCAGCAACCAAACTTATACTGAAAGCAACTAGCTGCCTTATATACACTTCCTCCTGCAAGTAATTAAGTGGGTAACACGACTTAGGTGGGACCACCATCATTTAGAATAATAAATATTTACCTAAAACGCAACACCACAGAAAAATAGAGCACAAAGAATGAATATTTACATAAATACAAATTTCTATCAATAAATCAATCAATCACATGCACTCAAAATAATCCCATAAATCAGCATTGCTTTACTCCCCCCACCCTCAGCTTCATGGTTTGCTCCTGCAGCTCTTAAGCAGGTGTTTGAGCCTACCACACTCCTTTGCCTGCGCCCCCTGCTGAAGAGACAACCAGAAAGAGGTGAGTACTTACATTGTTTGCTTTATCTGTTTAAACTAATTTGATATCTAACTGGAATGGAGTAGAAGCAGTCAATGCTATGTTGTGAATCATGACTATCACTGATTGAGGTTTCTTTTCAAACAGGCAGGATGACCAGACCCTCCTGTGTTTCCTCAGCCTCCTCTGAAACTACTCACTGCAAAGAAAGTTAACAAATATTTCCATCCATCCAACGCTTATCCTGCGTACAGGGTTGCGGGGGGGCTGGAGCTGATCCCAGCTGACATCGGGCAAACAACCACTCACACCTAAGGACAATTTCAGAGACCCCAATCAACCTAGCCTGCATGTCTTTGGATGGTGGGAAGAAGCCGGAGCACCTGGAGAGAACCCATGCGGACACGGGGAGAACATGCAAACTCCACACAAAAAGACCTCCTTGCTGTGAAGCGACAGAGCTAACCACTGCACCACCGTGCCGCCCTATCAGATATTTAACAACTGAAATAGACAAAATAAGAATGTGTATGGCTCCTGCCAATAATCCCCACCTTAATATTCATCTCTGAACCAGACAAAGACTGTTATCTGTTATACACCTGTGATCATCAGTACCCAAGTATTTGGATTTTATTTACACTTATTCATTTAGCTGACGCTTTTATCCAAAGCGACTTACAATTGCTACATATGTGAGAGGTCGCACGCCTCTGGAGTAACTAGGGGTTAAGTGTCTTGCTCAGGGACACAGCGGTGGATTGAACCTGGGTCTCTCACACCAAAGGTATAGTCTTATCCATTGCGCCACCACATTTTATGAAACTATACTTTTCTTAATTAGAGGCATTTTTGTATTGTCAACTTTACTGTATTTATCAGACAGTTGTGATCTTCAGACTCAGATTTCACACAGAAAATCAAAACTCTTGAAGTTTAAATTAGACAAAAGTACTTAGACCACTTACAGCTCCAACATACAGTAGTACTTCATGTTAAAGTGGGATACCATTATGCAGAGTCAGTACATGTTTGGTACATGTTACTACCTTTACCCTCATTCATTTTATACTTTGGTCTGAAGGTGGCACCAGAGGATTAGTTTATTATGAGCACCAGCATTTCAATTTAAAACTGACACTTGTTACAGATGCCAAGTATCACATGTGACTATTTCTACTATAAAAGAACCTTTACTACTTACCTGTTTCTTCCTGTCAGTTTCATAAGTCTTGATTTTCTTTAGTTACAAACCTGTAATGTGGATTAAATCTGCTGTCCCACAGAGTTAACAAAAAGCACAGAAGACAGTTTTGGATTAACCCAGACTTTATGCAAATTGCACAATTGGTATAAAACTTTAAGAAAATGTGGTCTTTGGTGTTGGCACAGCAAAAAGATAACAAATAACCATGTGACAAAAACAAATCACACAAAACATTCAGGGTAATGCAAAAAGAAAGTAATCTGGAGATCACCAACAATCCAATAATTTAAAGGAGGTCTTCTATCAGGTCTAATTCATTAAATAAGCAGCTGCGTGTAGGGTGACATTTACTTTCAATCTTTACTTCAGGTCCCCCTATTTAGCGTTTATATGCAGTATACACACTTAATACATTCAGTACACACTAATGTAGTAGTATACAGGTAAGTGTTGATGTCAACACATTCAATGATGGATCAGTAAAACAAAGTTTGACATTTTAATGTGACAAATCCTGTATCCTAACACACTGTCTTATAACCCACTTACACTGCATAGAAATGCTGGGGAACTTAAAGTGCTACTCAGTGGTTTCACAAAAGAGAAATCTGGGCTGAAAAGCTTAACTACCAAGCAGGACGTGATGTTAGCGAGGAAACTTTCAGTCCTGCTGATTAGCTTACCTGCACCAGACCAGACATCAAGACGTCCTTAAAGCAACATTATGTATCTTAAAATAACAGCTTTAAAATAATGTTGGTATACATATATATGCTATATTAGGACAGCAGTGAATGACACTGAATCTGTAGAGGGACCAAATAATAATATAAGTTACATTAAATTACAAAATAAATAATAATTACATAATGCTGCTTTGAGAAAAACAATTTTTGTTTTTTATAAATAAAATCAGTTATTGGCATCAAAGGAAAGTTCATTATTCTGGATTGTTCCCAAGTATTTGTGCTGCTGGTCACAGTCAGGCTCCCTTTAATTCATTTGTGCAGATCCCACCCCCCAAAATAAAAACAAAAACCTTCAGTTCCAAGCGAATCATACGGGCTTCGTATTTTCATCCCAATTTCACTAAAAAATGACCAGTTACCAGCTATGAATTTTATACAGAAAGCCTGGTTTGACTTGTAAATGTAAATTTTGAACAATAGTCTGCTGTCAAGCCAAGTCTTTGTAAGACAAAGTGATGCAAATACAAAACAAACTAGAAAATTGCATTTCCTGCTGAAAGTGCGTGTGAATGCTGAACTGAACTTGCAAAACACTGCAGGAAATGTAGAAGAGCTGAAATCAAATGCACTGAAAAGCTAAATTGTTCTACTGTCCGCAAAGTATAACAATAAGAAAACAATAACAAAGTATAACAAAGCTTAAAGCTGAGCTGACCTTGCATAACACTGCAGAAAATGCAAAAGTGCTGAAATGAAATGCATAATAAAGTACTGAAGCTCAATGACATTGCAAATCACTGCATAAGAACTTGGATGTTGTACAGAGCTAAAATTCATTGCTGAAAGATATTATAATGTCATAGATGGAAGCTGAAATGAGTTTCTTTTGTGAAATGGATCCAGGAGAAATGAAAGAGACTGAAAGAGATACAGGCAAATAAGACAAACAGAGACTGACAGACAGTCAAGACAGAGACAAGCAGAAAGAGAGAGAGAATAAATGAAAGATAGAGAAAGTCTACATTAAACTCATAAAAGGAAAATTAACAAATGGCTGCCTGTTGGACAGTTTGGCTTCAGAGCGTGACTGAAAAGCCTTTGATACCAGAGGTGGCAGCAGTGCACTGTATCCCAATGACCTCCTTCGCCCACCTGCTCAAGACTGTACGCCTGCTGCGTCTCCTTGGTCTGCTTCAGTACAGCACCGTGTAATGTCTATGTTTGCCCTGCTGGCACACTGGATGGCCTGCATCTGGTACGAGACCGGACACGTGGAGATAGAACGAGTGGACCTCGCACACTGGGTGGCTCAATGAGCTGAGCAGACGTATGGAGATGCCACACATCAACAGCACGATGGGCGGCCCGACGGCACACAGCCTACGTCACCACCCGTTTCTTTACCGTCAGCAGCCTGACCACTGTGGGCTTTGGCAATGTCTCAACAGATCTGTTTCTGCGAAAGAACGCCTTAACTATACTGCACAGTTTGATCAGGAATCATTAATTAATAGACTACTATATACTAATAAAGGTGAACAGGAGGAGAAATTACATTTAATTTGATGCTGTTTTCAGTGTGTCTGACGTGCTAATACGAGAGAGACTCAGGTCATCAAGACCAATGCTGATGTGAAGGTGTTGACATACTATCACATTCAGTATATCAGTGTGTGTGACCTGAAAGATGTGCTGGTACTCTACCACAAGTATGCCAGTGTGTTTGCCTCAGATATCCACAACAATCTACAACCTGCGTGAGGACAGCCAGGACGAGGGCCTCAGCGGGTTTTCAAGGTCACCCAGGCTTACCCACGAACGCAGGCTCCCCTCTCTTGTGGATACACAGGGGGATGAGTCTGACAACTTGGTCCACCTCCCTCCAGCAACACGCTCCCTTCGCAATCTGCTGCTGACCAGCTTCAGAAACCTTGTTGGCCTTCACGGGCAGAGCTCAACCCCTCAGCCACTGTCAAAAAAAGAGCACAGCACTCGTACAGCCACTCGAGTCTCAGCCCAGGGAGAGTCAGCGGCTGAGCAAAAGCCTTCAGAGCTGCTTAATCCAACTGTCCCCTGCTTAGGAGCCCAGATCTTAGTCCCAAAGTTGTAGAGGGAACTGAAGACCATGGACCCTTGGTCCATTTCAACACACCAGGCCTAGAGCCAGTACAGGAGGCAGCAGCCACGAGTCCACTCAGGCTAATGTAACTCTGCTGGAGATGGAGGAGGTCAGACAGATCATTAATCAACTCAACCAATAAGTTTCTGAGCTCACCAGAGGCCTGCACCACCTGATGCATCTCCTGCAGAAACTTCCTTTAACATAGCTTCAAACTACCACATCCACAAGCAAAGCCTGACCGCCATCAGCCAGTCTCAGCCCACTTTAAGCCTGCAGCCTCCCATTGATAGTGATGAATACTCCAGCCTTTCGTCCAGTACCCCTACAAGCAGGCCTACATCCACACACAGCCTGCTGGACTTGTTATCCAATTCTTTCACCTCCTTCCAAATCAAGGCGTGTTACCGGCTACATTTCCGAGATTGAAGCAGAACAACAAAAGGATGAATGCCCAAAAAGTTTTGGCAATGACACGAGTGAAGGAGAAACCTGACAGGGGAGACATAATGAATGGCGGTCACTGACTGCTAGAGCGCTTCGTTCCTTTATTTACATGTAGGCTATATAATAACAGCACGTTATTACCAAAAGGTTGTGTTTAACTTTTCTGGCGGCTAGGCCAGTAGTCTCAAGTGCAGGACTAAGAGAGGGAGGAGACCGGAAGACTAGATGCAGCAGAACCAGGTTGGTGGCTGCAGTGCAGAGCAGAAGGGAACCATAGCCGAGAGTCCAGAGAGGGTGAGAGGCCGAACTGAGCAGGTCCAGAACAGATCACGGGAATATATAAACCGGACGGGGCCCAGGGAGAGCAGAAGGGATGAGCACCATTTGCGTTAGCGCAAAGTAACAATTAGGAGTGTGTGAGTTAAAATTTCATGTGGTCTCATTCGTGCGAGTGTAAGGTGATCTTTAGCAGCTCCACCATTTCACTCACAAAATGCCCCTTATGTGCAAGTAAAAACCGCAACCTACCGTACCCCCCGCTAACCGTTTACAACATTGTCTGACCGGCTGCCACCGGCACCAAGAGAAATCCTAATGGGGTAGAGATGCGTTGGCAGGTGAAGCGGTGAGACAGAAGGCAGCAAGGAGAAGATGAGGAAGGTTTATGTTTGGTTAGTTGGCTATTTAGCAGCATGAGGTGAATTTTCTTGAAACAACTTTCATGAAGTCAATGAGCTCGTCAATGTCACTTTTCGACAACCAACCAATCACAGCATGAATAAATTAGAGTCTAACTCAACCATCACGTAAGCTAAAGCATTTTTCTTGCACAATCATTTAAGGAATGAAAAAAAGAAACTGGAATTAATGTTAGATGCTACACGTGGTAAGATATAAAGTATACTAAAGTGACATTATAATTAAAAAATAGTCACATTATATAATTATTATAATAAATAACTTATAATAATAACAATGTATTATTATTATTATTATTATTATTATTATTACTACTACTTTTACTTCATGTTATGAAATATGAAAAGTCATTTTTACTAGCTCCTCCTTCAGGTTGTGGCTAGAGCCTCTGCAGGGAACAGATGTAGATTTAGCCAGATTTGGTTGAGGTATGATCGGCTGCGTTTATATTGAAGGCAATCTGCCACATTGTTGTTACCGTGTCAACACAGTTTTAGCTTGCACAACAACTGTAAGAAACACAAAACTTGCAGGGGCCGATATATCACCTGAAACACAGAGCCCCTCCCCGCTTCTTATCAGCTGTTACCTACTGTAACAAAAAAAAAAAAAAAAAAAAAAAAAGGGTGTGACCAAATCATGTGGTGTGACAAACTGAGAAAGTTGGTAGCACCAATGGAAAGGTTAGTCCGGAGCCCTGCAGTGCTCACTTTAGACAGACAGACTAAGTCCGGACCATCACTAAACTACTTGCATGTTGTTTTCTGCATCGGGGTTGTTGTTTGCTGATGAAGTCCTCAGAGGGTTCAGCCCACAGCAGTTTGTTAGCTCTGCATTTTGCTCCCTCCTTCCTCTGAACCTCGTCATCAGTTTCTCTATGAGAACATAAAAACAGGTTTGTTAAACTTTTTAAAGTCGGTGTTTTGAGCAGAAATACATATTGAAAAATATTACAGGAACAAAGTCAAATCCCTCATCTTTGATTTCACAATGAGCAACAACAAACCTGCTCACAACAGTGATCACACAGCAGGGCTTTAAATGTTAATGAAGAGCTGTGGGACAGTTTGTTTAGTAACTTACGGATCGTTCCCCGTCTCACAAGAACCCCAACGACAATGAAGACAAGGACGACGACAACAGTGGAGGTGATGATGGCAACAAGCTTCCCGTTTTCACCATCTGAAAGAAGATCAGAGGAGATTAAGAACCAGCACAGGCTCAGTTTATTCTTTATTTCACCAATTCATGTTTAGTGTTCTGCTCATGTAGTATTTTCTCATTCACCCCCTAGTAGTGTCCAACCACACAGATGGTTTTATTTGTCCTGGTTTTGAGATATTTGTAAGACTTCTGCCTCCCCCTGAATACAGCAGAGAACAAGTATTTTAAGTAGTAGATAACCCGAAGACATCAGTGATGTCAAAAAGCCAAGTTGCTGTACTACTACGACTACTACAGGAAAGTACAAGAAGTACAACATAAGAGTGATTTCCCATCACTGGGTGCATTTTCTAGTTCAGTTTGTTTGATTCAGTCGACTCGAGGATTGTTTGTGGTCTGAAAACATCTAAGCAACTACAATATTATTTTTGTTGCCGTTTCTGCTTTATTTGATAAAAAAGGGGCTGCTGCGCTAACCTTTTGAGACGATCAACATGTGGAGCCGTTTTTCTGCCTTAAACTTGACGAAGACAAATGTTACAGGGGAAAATTATTATTATTATATTATATTATTATCCTAAGAAGAAACCCTCCTGATTATCTCAAGGGATCAGAATTAGCCGTTATTATGGCTATGAATTTTACGAGAAGAAGTCTGTCTCAAAGACGAAGATATAACAACTGAAAAACAACTTAAATTCAGTTCAAAGCAATTTACCAGCTTTGTCCGGCTCATCTGGTGGAGGTCTAGTTGTGTTCTTTTTGCTCTGGTGGACTTTGGTCAGTGTTAAAGAAGAAAAAAAAAGGAGACAAAAATGTTTGTCAGCACTCAGAAACAGATTAAAATATCTTCTAGCAGTCAGACAGAGTGACCTGCTGTGTGCTTTAAGTAGCTCATGAAGGATAAGATGCTAAAATTAACAGGTTACAGCTGTTTTTTAATTTGACACATTTATTCAGCACTGAATATCTTCTGCTTCTGTATATTTATACTGAGCATCTCTTTGCACAAGAAAATCTCAATTCTGACAAACCTTTTTAGTATCTGAAACTGTATGAACTCAGCATGCTCACCAACAGTGACATTAACAACACAGCTGGTCAACAGTCTTGAGATAAAACACTTGTACGGTCCGCTGTCAGCCAGCTGTACTGAGGAGATCTGCAGAGTCAGGATGCCTCTGCTCAGGTCTTCAAGGTGGAGAGTCGACCTGCCTTTGTATTGATCCATCCAGTCATTTGGATTTTCCTGCTTGCCTCGATAAGAGTACACCCCTTTGTTGAGGTCATCTCTTGTCCAATCAAGAGCGTAATCCACCACGCTGTGCGGGGGATTCAAATAACATTGTAGAGTGACTGTATCACCTTCCACTGCCTCAATTGTGGGATTCGGGCAAATGGCTCGAGGCTTTCCTGAGAGACAAACAAACATCACATTTACACAAATTCATCACAAGTCATCTTTTCAAACATTTAGACACACAGTTGATGTTTTTTTAGTCCAAGAGTGCAACAATTCCTAAACTGCAAAAGTGCTGCTCCATCTCGTTCACTCAGCCCTTTCATCACATCTCAGGAGACGACAGACCTGAGCGCTGAATAATTTGATCAGCTGGCAGGGTTTGATATACCTGGCAGAGATGTTGTGCCACATGATGATATTTCTCGTCAGGTTAGAAAAAAAAAAAAAAAAAACGGATACCGCTGACTCTCAAGTCAACTCCGGCCAGCTGATGCCACACCAGCAAACGCTGTGATGGTAATAAAGTGACCCCCCCCCTCCTCGCGCTGTGAGTTTTGCACTATAAACATTTTTTTATAAACTGAGGCACAAACTGTGTGGGACTGTGAGCTTTATCAGAGGATCTGTGGTGAGATTTCTGCCTGATCCTTGTCAAAAAAAACTTGTAGTTGCACTTCATAACAATAATGCAGCAATCTGTTACAACAGTGTTAATCCACATAAATCTGAACCACCTCAGAGCAAGTTCTCTGTAAGTACAAAGTAGGCCTTCTTAACAACATCCACAGTAACATACAGGATTTAAATCTACAGTCATGTTCCTGTAACTGTATGTAAAAGTAAAAACATAAATTCTTGAATACTCTTTTACAGTTTCCAATGTATAGAATGTACCTAGAAGTCATTACCCCATCTTCTAATAAACATCTGGCTGTGCTGCACAGTATTGATCACACCGTAGCCCGTATTTCTCATATTAGCTACCAGGTCAGACGCACAGAGGTAAGTTAGTACAGGTGTCCTGCCAAAAACTGATTGCCGTCAGCTGGAGCTGTATTGCCCAGTCTCTTCAATCACTTTCTGGCAAGTGAAATAGCCTACTGCATTTTTTGGGCTGAGGTAAAAAGTACTAGGTGAGCTATAATCTGTCAAATATAACTCTTCTGAATAAAATCAACTAATTTCAGGGCAGAAATAATCTTTCAGTCAATAACAAAAGGCTTCAACTGCATTTTAAGAGTTGTATTGACCATTTAAAAAGGTATTATAAGAGTGGATTGGGTCATAAGGATAATTGCAAAATTGTCTTCATTTTATATCTAAGTTGGCAGTATGTCACGTTAATTAGGCTACAGCCCGTTTTCCAAATATAAACAAAGATATCACACATAGGCCTACCAAACATCACTTTTCAGCACCACACCGCCATTTAACGCGCTTGCGTCATTCCGCAAACAACAATAAAAACAGATTAAAAAGTTCACGTTTTGTCCAGAAATCTCTTACTGACCATATGTCAATGAAAGAAATACCGTCAGTCTCGGGTTAAGTGATTAAATGAGTGTCCAAGAACAGTTTTAGTCAGCTAGCGAGTTTATAGCAATGCTAACCTGCTAAAGAGTTTAACAATCCCATAAACTAGTCCGCGTGAGCAAACAAACCAGTGTTACAAACCTAAAAAAGCTCCAGTGTTTACAACCTTAAGCTATAATGTTAAGTTATCTTTAAGCGTGTGGGATAAACTGAGTTAGCAGTCAGCTAAGTTAACAAGTCACCTACTCACCGGTTTCAGCCAACAGTCCGACAAAGTAACACAGAGAGCTGAACGTGACAAGTGCAGCCTTCATCATCACCGAGCTGGGTGGTGTGATCGCAGTCAGTCCTGATGTTTTAAAATTATGCTTTAAGGTGATCGTTGTGAAAGTACGTCGGCATGGAAGAGCAAAACTTAAAAACACCCGCTCCAGCAGCAGGAAGATGAGGAGTCAGAGCAGCAGGAAGAGGAGGATCACTACAAGAGACTTCCCTCCTGACCGAGTTTCACTTCTGCTGGCAAAGTCTTAGATGTGTAAAAGCTTTTTTTTTTAATTCACAGGACTCTCTCTCGCTCTCTCGACCCAAATACCTTACTTGCAGCTTACTGGGCTGAGTTATTTGCTGATTTACTGCTCCCAAAATAAGGTCCATTAACTTAACAACTGACAAACACTCGCTGTAAAATGCACTCTGTACATTTGAGATATCTGTCTGACATGTCCCCAGCACTTTTTGAAAGCATAATTTGTTAAAAAGAAACAATCTGAAATACAGCTTGCAGTTAAATAAAAAATGAAAATGCCTTTTGAAAGTTCCCTGTGATCAGGAGGGGAGACTGAATCCTGCCTACGTTTCCCTCAGCAGGGAGAAGCAGATCTGAAAGCAGCACAGAATGCCTCAGAGCTGCACTCACTTATATTCTGTTATATTTATATATTTTAGACAAATGCTATGTGCTACCTGAATTTGGGGTTTCCTTTTACATAAAACATTTTCACCATAAATTGGTGCAGAAACTTTCACCAGAATGCAGGAAATCAAATGATCAAAATTCGCCCCAGCTCATATTTATTGTGATGTCTTGCAAATGAGTTTCTTCACACCCCTATTCTGAGCCCCTATATCCCCACCACTTTTCAACACAAAGTGACTCTGTAAATGCAATTTTTAGACAAACGTTGTTGCACGTGTTTCAATCCACGTGAAACAAAAGTAAAACTTTGTCTTAAAAATAAAGATATAAATGTATTTTTACCTGAAAGACACGCAACATGTTGGCAGCATGGCACGTCGTTAGTCCCGCCCCTTTTGCTGTCGTCAGACAATATTCGCGCCATTAACGAACTCTGATTCATCTCATTGGCTGAGCGCAGCGGGAGAGCCGTGATGCGTGAGCTCCATGGCGGGATAGATTTTTAAAGTCACAGTGTCCCCACGTGATACTGACACTGGTGATCCTGAGAGCCTCTTTACCCCAAAATATGCAAACACTGATTTATTCTATTGAATTCAAATTTATTGGCATTAAAGTTTCAAGACCAAAGTATTAAAATACAATTTGTCAGTATTAGCAAACAATATTTGGACCGTACACAGTAATAATATGAACATAATACAACATTAAGAAGAAGAAAGAGAGAGAGAGAGATTTTTCACTCTGTCTTTCAGCACACTGGATTTGAAATGAAAGAATAATCAGGAGTTTAATGTGCAGACTTTCTTTCTTAGATCTTAATTAAAGAAAATTAAATTATTTGGAGCCTAACAGTGACTTAGCAGACTTTCTCCCTTGGAAATTTATTATTTAACCATCAAATTCAAAGAATCTGCAAACAACAAGTAAATATGACCATTTTATTTAGGTTGATGATGATCTATAATGTTTTGTTCTTCTGAATGTGGCAGTCTGTCAAATGGCTATAATTTGTACACGGTTTACTTGATACATCTGGAGTACAGAACTAAAACTTGTCTCACGCTTGTGATCTCAACCTTAATGAAAATGTTTCAAATTGTGTATTTAATCTAATATACTCAATGTATTAACCTTTACACTGTTTCATATTTCTTTACCACTCCCAGGTCTCTGCCTGGTCTCTTCTGGGGCCTCCGACAGGGTCTGCTTCTGACTGCTGTCACCAAAAAAACTCAAGGAACTGTAACGTCTGACGTGGAGTTTGGATGCTTATATCGTTGTAGTGATAAGAATTTGACACGTGTGTCTGTTTTGAGCAGTAATCATCCAGTAAAGTTCAGTGAGCACTCAGGTATAAAGACTAATAATGGAAACATATTCCTCTTTCTAGGCCTGCAAAAGACTTTGAAGAATTGCCTATTCATGGAAAAGCTTACCTGCCCTCCCTGGATATATATAATACAGGTTTGTTGAATGCAAGTGGTCGCCTTGCACTATTTTGCACTTTTAGCCAAACTTCTTTCTTGGTTTAGACTGAGCAGCTTCTGGCATTTGTTGAAATTCTCCTGTTGTGCGTGTTTATGTGACTGTGTCTTTTCATAATATAACATTAGGATGTGGGTAACTATGACTTAGACACAAGAAAAATATAAATGCATACACAATGTAAATGTATTCGATGTTATGAGGGCAACAAACAAACACACAAACGTATTCATTCAAATTTATTTCACGAACAAAGAATCAACAATATTTGCACAGTACACAACATATATATATATATGAACATAACACAACATTAAGGCTGAGAAAGAAATAAATAAATAAAGACAGATAAAACATCTTAGGCACGTGTTAGTGTGTGTTGCACTGCTTCATTGCACGATTGTCTTGCTGTCTATAAATAACGTTTTTCTTTATGTGTGCATCTGTACATGTTAGTTTGTGTCTGTTTTTTGTTGAGCTTGCTGTCCTGTTTATTTAAGCTTATTCTGTGTAGGTACATTGAGAGCAATTTAAGACCCGAGTCAAATTCCTGGTATGTGTCCACACACCTGGCCAATAAAAGTGATTCTGATGTTTAGGAAAGGATGAAGGCGGTACAGCAGCCGTACTGAAATTAATCCCCCGTTAACAGTAATGTTATGGAACATATGTAGGAACAGTCTTTCACTCAGTAACCATCTCTCCTGATACATTTCAACAGATGCACACTGTTAATGCCGTCGCTCCGTGACTCCCCAGAACAAAATGCTACTGTAAGTGTAGTCGTCGTAGTAATCGATACACATCATGTGTTAATATATATATATACACACACACAGGGAATTGCTGCAAATATGGTCGCTGCTGTGAATGTATTTCCATGATTTTGGCGCAGTCCCTCTTCCCTCTAAACTTAATCATCATCAGTCCCCAGAAGTAAGGCTATTAGACATATAGAGAGAGAATATAAGCGTAGTCTGAGACGTTTGGTTTGAGATATTAAGTTCCATAAACAACATTTAACTTGATGTTTGTTGAGCAAAACAAGTTATCGGTCTCAGTCTTCATCCCTCTCTGTTGCTCCGGTCCTCAAGTTTTCCATTTTGAAGTTCGCTCTTCGGAGCGTCTTCTTGCAAATTTCTGAGAGAAAAATTTAAAAGTCAAAGAAAGTTGCTAAGCAGGAAGGCAGAGCAGAGTAATTTAATGATGTTGCTCATATCACCACAACATTAATGATATTTTCTGATATAAACATTAATCACATTACGGAAAATTGATGTTAAAAGCATCGACCTCTACTCCACCTGTTGTGCATCACATGATACTAAACTCTTAAAATATCACACTAACTCAGCTGAAGCCCTGAAGGTTGATTTGAACTCTTCCCCTCAAACCTTAAGTGTTTATCCTCCATCAGCTAAAAGAAATCTGATCAACAGTGATCAACAGTGATCACAGCTCACGGCTTCAAATGTTTCTATGTTGTGGTGGAAGAACTCACGTGATTTACTTGAGTAAAAGTACCATTACAACGATGTAAAAATACTTCAATACAAGTAAAAGAGCTGCGTTCAAAATCCTACTTAAGTAACAGTATTATCAGCAAAATGTACATAAGTATCAAAAGTAGCTCTGTAGTAAAATATCTGATTTATTATTGTGACTGAAATGATCAGATTATCAATACTGACGCATCAATATTAGAGTTTTAAATAACATAGTGGCCCTAATATAAGATGATATTTTGTTCTGGAAAAGTTGTGGTTGTTTTATATTAGAGGACTAAACAGTTTCTCCGGCTCCTGAGTTTTGCATTAAGATTCTATTAAAACAGAAATCCTTGTCATTGGACCAACATATAAACAAATTACAACAACAACATTACTAAGCTTGTCCATTTATGTTTTAATCACATCAGAAATCTATTTTAACTCTAGAGATGCTGATAAAGAACCTGCTTTTATCTTTTCTCGCCTTCAGAACTCAGCTGCTCGGCTTTTAAAACAGAACCAGGAGGTTCGATCACATCACACTTCTTTACGTTGGCTCCCTGTTTGATTTAGGATTGATTTCAAGATCTTATTTGAAGCTTGAGATCTTCAGTCAGGGGTCTCCTGTCTCTCCCTGAGTCCAGGCTGAAAACTAAAGGGGACAGAGCTTCTCTGCTGTCGGGGCCCCGAGGCTCTGAAGGGACCTGCCTGAGGAAGTCAGGCTGTCAGAGTCTCTTCTTACAACTCACTTTTATTGGACAGCATATCCTGATTTTATCTGAGTCGCCTGCTTCTTTTAAAGTTTTTATCTTGCACCTCGTGTATTTCATCATTCACCGAGGTGTTTTATTTCATGTCTCTGTAAAACACTTTGTACTCTGATTTGACAAGTGCTCCATAAATAATGTTTATTATTATTATAGTTATTTGTAGCGTTAATGTTGCTAAACTAGTAAGAAGTCAGTTTATAGCGAGTCTTGTAGAGCTAGTCTGGCAAGTCTCTTTGGGGGAAAAGTCAACAACTCATAGACCTCAACCTGACGAGGAGCCACATCAGTGCTTTAGCAGCCTTTATGTAAACAGGTCACAAGATACAAATGTTGTGATCCACTGGTTTAATAGTTAACAATGCATTTTGTTTTACAAGCTTTTCAAAGCTCTTAATCTGTAAAGTAACTAGCAGCTAAAGATGCTAAATAATTGTAGTGAGTAAAAGTTATAAAAAGCATAAAATGGAAATACTCAAGTAAAGTACAAATACCTCAAAGTGTCCTTAAGTACAGCGCCTGAGTAAATGTAGTGATATTAAAATAGTGTAGAGCAGAAGTTTGTAACTTACTGATCTTTCCACGTTTCACCAGGATAAACAAAACGCCGCCGCCAGCAGCAGCAACAACAAGGATGGGAATGAGAGTTTTCCAGACTGCCTCCATCTCTGCAGCATCTGAGGGAAAATCAGACGGAGCTGAGGTGAGGAGGTGACGCAGTTTATAATCTGGTTGTTCATTCGTCTACAGTGAATTAGTCA